CTACGAAAGGCCTTTACCTGAATTTTCCTCAACCGCATCTAGAAAGATCTGCAATTTCTTGTTACTGAAGAAAATGTCGGTTTCAGAACAGAGTTCTCCACTATAGACCACATCGAAATCGTGAAGCAGTCAACAAGGAATACCCCCCCCCCATCTGCCACGCATTCATCGACTTCGATTCTATCGAGCTGGAGGCCTAGCAGCTAGCACGACTGCGATATCAACCCTGTCTACGCTGACATAAGGGAAGAACTGAATCCTGGTATCGCAACCGACCTCAAACTGTTCAACGAACCGTGTCGAATCAAAATTATAAGAGATGTACTCAAAAGAGTCACCATCTCTCTTAAGCTTTTCCTGACGACGCTGGAAGTCGTCTTCAACCGTCTGAACTGAGGCGGCGTCTTTGAGATCGACGGAGAATGGTTAATCTATCTGTTCATTGCAAAGGACGTCATTATGTCGAAATAAGTCACCCGCAGTCGACCATGAACATATCTGAGAAGTGAATTCGCAACGGCCATTGCCCAGCGGGTACTTTCTTCGCTGGAGCAAATAAGTGGAGAAAGTCGATGGCTACGTATACCTGTTATGCTAAATGAACTCCAGTGACAACCTCAACGGCTAGATTGGCAAATGGACAACGGCGAAATGGGCAAATTTCAATCACATGAAAAAATCGCTGTTGTACAACTGAACTAATTTTTATATTTTAATGCTTTGTCCACGAAGAAAAATCTATTCGACTCGGCCGTTCTACCCGCCACGATTTAGCGCGCCGAGTGCTCGCCTAATACCGAGGTTGAGGAAAAGAAATTAGCAGTAAAGCAACGAGCAGTGGAACGAAGAATATGATAGGTTTTCTTTCGAGACTGTCTTTTAAGTTCGACAACTGAGTATCGAACATGATTTTTTGGTGTACTCACTGCCATCTACAAGTCGAAGAGATGATGAGCTGATCACATGGCTGCTCTAAAGCGCAGCAGGTGGACATCTTGAGTTATCAAGTGGATCCCTCTCGACAACATTGTTCCATCGATCATCCTCCAAAACTCTGGGTCGATTCATTGACGCAGCTGTCTGGTTGACGGTGGAATCGAAAGGCCGAACACAGTAAAGAGTCGCGGAACGCGGACTTGCATCTGTAGTTAAGATGTTTGCGAAAGTAAGTCATGTAGAAGGGCAGCCTTTCCATGAACATATTTCAGACCACTCCCAGTTTATGATATTTAGACCATTAATTTTGTAGTATTCCGTTGATGCGTGAATCAACCGAAGTGTAGGGAGTACTTTCAAACGTCCTGAGAATTTCGTCATATCATTCAGCTAATATTTGCAATCCAATATTTTCTTGAATATAACTCGTTTTGAGCTGTTACATTGTTTATTTCGTAAATAACTGTAAAAAGAGAGGTAAATTTTTGCATGAGGGAATTTGGTTCTAAACTTTACAAGTCCTTTGCTGGATTACACCGCATGTATATTTAACTATATTCTAGATACAGTGTAACTGTATTCGTCGCGACTTACGCGAAAACTTCACTACGGAGTTTTCAGAGTTCAGTAGAAGTTGTTTCATTCTTTAGTTGCAGTGTGCACCGTGTTCCATAAGGTCCTCTTTATTCATGCATTAGTTTAGTTGTAATACCAACGCTGATTTTATCCTGCGGCTTAGAAATGTCCCCTCCCGGTGTATTCTCATCCTGTGGTGCCATAATAGACAATATTGTTCTTTTACTGCATGTTGTGCATCTGCCGAGTTCTTTTAGCAATCCTGCTTCGCCACCTGCAGACCCTCCGTTTGCTTTCGCCCTTTACATTGCTGTGCTCATCCATTCTGACATGGAGTAAAGTGTTTCAGAAGCCAACAAATCAATAAAATCCTGCCGTGTAGATTCGAACCATGCCTTTGCGTAACGAGGAGTATCGCCAACGTTCTATTTAGCAAATGCTTTAAGTTGAGCTCAGACGACAGGGGCATGCAAAAGGAACTTGTTCAAATCTGAAGAGCTCTCAGAAATAGTGGCTATCGGAAACGATTGATAGAAGAATCACTCAGCAGTCAGCAAAGGAAGAACAATAATGGAAGACCTAAAAGTGAAAAAAAAGAATTTCACCATCAGCATTTCAGCATTGTTGATCCGTACGTACCGAATCTAAGCGAGTAATTGCAGACGGTCGCCGGAAAGCGCAGAATGCAGCTAGTATTTCGATAACGAACAACATTACGAGGTAAGCGATCAAAATCACCGAGTGGAAATCCTAACACTAACGAAAGATTAGCAACCATAATTGCAAGAGTAGTCTCAGTTGCACAGGAAAAACCGACAGCACCATAGAATAAAGGAAGAAAGGACACAACGGTAACCTGATTAGATGGCACAGTGTCAGTCTGCGTCACAATAAAAAAAAGTACGAAAAGGTAAAGGGCGAAGACAAACGAGAGATTCGCAGATAATGAAGGAAGAATGCGAAAAGAACTTGGCAGCTGTGCAACAATCAGAAAAAGATAACGATGCATATAAACGGGCCACGTGGAAGGAATATACGGAGAGTGAAATATTCTAAACTAGAAAATAAAAGAAGTGTCTGCAATACAATCAAACTAATACATGAGTAAAAGACGTTGATATGAAACTAAGGTCATGCTGGAGTAAAGCAACTTCATTATAGGGGCGAAAACCTTCATAGTGAGGTTTGTACCTAAATGTCTAATGCATACTGTGATGTCATGGCTAATATATCCCTTCCAGAAGACTAATTTAGGGTAATCCGGGATGGTGGAGAATTTGTAAGTAATAATATTTTATATGCGGTGTAATTCCTAAAGTACTTGTCAGTTATTTCGTAAATATTCAGATTCAATTGGCAAAGTAATTTACCACAGGGTACAAACCTAACTCAACCGTTTTGGTCGGAGATTTTTATATTTATGGTACAGTTGCGGAACGCCAATGATTAGTTAGACAATGAAATGCAACAGATAACCTGAATTAGCAGGAATTCATCGTTGATGCTTTGGTGCATGTCCCGCAAGCCATCTGGGTATCATCGCCTAGCTTACCTAACAACTGTGAGTGACTGGTCTTTACGAGCAGTACTCTAGAGGTACTCGAGGCATGAAGAATATGGTTTCGGTCAAACGCTTGAATTGTTTGCTTAATCATGTTGTATCGCATTACGTTCAACAAATCCGTTTTCCGGCTGTATGTTAATCGAAGTACAAGCAAAGTGTTCGGCACTGGATTCAAGATAAATGCGTGGGAATGGAAAATTTACTTCAGTTTATTGACACTGTAACGTGAATAAATAAGAATTTAGATTATTTGATAATGCTTTATATTTTTTAAATGTTAATTTTGTACTTAAAAGGTGGAGTTGTCCGTATGTGAATCGTTAACTATATAACGGCATCAGAAGTTCTCAGCACAGTTATTTATTGTTTGTGCAAAATCCACACTTGTGTAGATTTTATAGTGATTCTCCTAGGCTTTCATGTTGTTTAAAATTTATGGGTGGATCCTAAGATTAGTCGAAGACGCGTTGAATACCATGGCCTAAGTTCTGCGAAGATCATCGTCCGAAATTGACAGATTCGCATTAACCTTCTTTTCTTTCTTTGACATATGGCAGTAAGCTCCTTCAAGCGATTAATCTGAAGATAGACGTTTGTAGCCTTGAAGAG